CTGGGTTGAAGGCCAATTGTAATAAAGAGCGCTGCTTCATTTCAGCTCATATTCCCCCCCTTATCTAATCCCATTAAGGCTGACGCTTCAGGAAATAGCAGTGCCTCCTGGTAATGAAGAAATACATTAACCGAGCTACGAAATGGCCTCACTGCATCAAGCCTGTTTTCTCCTTCAGTAAACCCTGTCAGATCTCACGTCGATTTATACGACTGGTCTTGTCTTTATTTAGCCACAGCAGATCAATTTAGTAGCTATTACATTCGGTTAAGCTGCATTTTAGGTAAAAGTGCAACATGTGAAGCTGTGCATCAAGTCATTTAATCATGTCCAGGTAAGAAGATGCATTTTGCTGTGTAATCCTTCTCCTCAAGGCCTTTGAAACACAGATTTCAGTGTCTGAAGCCTGGGTGTCCTATTGCTATGCATGATGGTGAGTGATCCACAAACAGCCACTACTACATCCCAGCTTAGAAACATGAAGACGTCTGCCAGTGATATCGACCATGTGAATCTTCATCCCTTGAGTTCTTAGTCTAGAAGTCTAAAATTTCAATATAATATGCAATTAGTATTTGTACCTATTGTCCATTAGATATTAAGCAATTCAAGTCACGAAAACATCAGCACCATTCACATGGGATCTGAATTGCTGAATATAATCATCTTTGCATGGACCTGCGGAGAATCTCTAACACGTCTACACACACATCTCTTCTACACAGCAGCCTGTCTGCACCGGTTAGTGAAAGATGCATGTGCAAACACTTCAGTCACACCTTCTCCAGGGAGCATGACAGATAGAAGCCTTCAAGGCCTGAGTGAGAAGTGAGAGAGGCTGGAGTGTCAGCAGCTCGGGTTTAATGTGCAAATCATCAGCAAATCAGTAACCATTATATAGATGGGTGTGCTTTATAAAGGATGCATGTAAAACTCAGAAGCACAATATAGAGCAGCTAAGGTTTCCTGAAGTTGGACAATAGACATTAGAAATGAATCTATTGATAATGTAAATCACATATAATCATTGAAATATGCAAGTGTTCTGTTAAAACCACATGTCTTTGTTTCTGACAGCAGTCTGGTGGTGCGGCTGAAGAAATGTGTGATTGAATTCTGTTAAACTGTTCAAAGTCCATCAGTTGATTACAACTGATTATTGAGTAGAAGATGTCATTTAGAGTTTTAGAAAGCTGGATGATTGAAATAAATAGACGTCTGAGGTTGTGCCTTCAGAAGATAAAGCCGAGTTGAATATTTGTAGTCTGCTGCCACCTGTTGGACTGCTGACAACATAAGTCTAAAAGAAACGTTCTTACAGCCCTAAGTACTAAAATTATCTTTTGGGAAATGATCTCAAAAGCCATCTTTAAAAATGTGATCGACAGCATTACAGTTGTAGTGTAATGCTGTCGTTTACACAGTTAAGTCATTAAATATAAATACAACAAAGAGACACATAACAATGGTTGTTACATTTGTCCAAATTTATTAAACAACAAAACGGTGAATCTGAGACAAAAAGAAAAAACCATTTAGATTCACTTCTTTGCAGCTTCCTCCTCCTTTGACAAGTTCTTGATGATCTCTTCTTTCTTGGCCAGGAGACGCTCCTCTCTGCGTTTGCGGGCCTCCTTCGTCTTTGACCGGCGAGCCTCAGCCTGGTCACTGGATCAGTGAAGGAAGGTGGAAATGCAGAGAAAATTAACTCACTGATGCAAAGTAAAATGAATTATATCCAGCTCCAGACAACCAAATGCAAGACTATGGCATAATAATATGAAAAAAAATCTAAATGAAAGAGCGACTTACGCGAGAAGCTTCTTGCGAGCCTTATCTGCCTTCAGCTTGTGGATGTGCTCCATCAGGATGCGTTTGTTTTTGAAGACATTACCCTTGGCCCTCAGGTAGAGACTGTGGTACCTGGTGGAAACAGGAAAAACTTCAGAGTGGCTCAAAGAAGAAAATCCCCTCCTGAAAATGGAATTAAAAATAGGATCTCTTGTTCATTAGCAATGAGCGCTGGCATTCATACTTACATGTGCCTGTCGATTTTCTTGGACTCCCTGTAGCGACGAAGAAGACGACGCAGGATTCTCATGCGCCGCATCCATGACAGTTTTTCTGGCATACGGGCATTGGCTGTACCCTTTCTCTTACCTGGTTGGAGGAAACAAATATTTTTTTTTTAAATAAATATGGCAGCGTCAACTCATGTTCATAGAAATGTTATAAGATTTTTTAACACTGCTAAATAATTACAGCATGGGATTTCTTACGTGTAAATGATTGACAATTTAAAGAAAGGTGGATAATGGACAGAACATGCAAATAAATTACGCACCATAACCAGTGTGACGTCCCTTGCGGCGGGCCAGCGTGTTCTTGCGGCAGCGAGCACGGGAGTGGACCGTCACAGGTTTCCTGATGATCAAACCATCCTTCACCAGTTTTCTGATCTGCTGGCCTGCAGAGCAAATTCAATATAGACAAAGGACGAGCTAGTTCAGGGGTTTGAGTTTCAAAATTTTACACAGTGAGCACCATCGAAGGCAAAGTCAACAACTCACGAGAGTTTGCGTTCGCAATCTCATTGGTCTCGTTGGGGTCCAGCCACACCTTCTTCTTGCCACAGCGCAAGACGCTGGACGCCAAGCGCTTCTGGAGCCTGAGCATGCTGGTTAAAACAATGAGAAAATATTAGTTCTTGCAAGATGTGAAATGCATACAGTGTTTGAGAGCCTTTATGATTCTATATAAACATATGACAATTGGAAATTGACCGTCTTTATGCTCCAAGCTGTTGGAACAGCAATTTTTGTCCTGTTATTGTAGCTTTATAAAATCTTTATGGTATTTCAATGTCTAAATTCTTGGCTCATCAGTAAACTGCACCAACATTTTTAAATAGTTCGTACAAACAAAGTTTGATTGACTTTATTAGTTTGAAACAAGCAAAAAAAGCATTGAAATCTACAATATTTAATTCTCTGAAATTATGAATCCAAAGCAATAGAATAATTTAAGCATAATCCAGGATTTTATTCAAACTTTATATGTTCACTTAATTGCCAATTCTTTACTCACTTTAGCACTGACAGTCAAAGTTATTGGCAAGTGAGATTGATTCTGCATTTCAAAATCTAGTTGACTTAGAGAATCACGTATAATAAAGAAACATTCAAAACCACAAACATATTTATAATTCAAGGAAACCTGCTGTCTTAATTTAGATATGAACTTATTATAAGGACTCGCTGTCTAAATATGCCCTGGTACTAGTCCACTTTCCATGGATTTCTTATTTAAAAATTAATTTCTAGATCTTTTGCAAGTTTTGCTGAATAACGAACTCCTAATCTTGTCTTCTTTATTCAAACCCTAACCTGTGTGCTACAGTTCGTCAGCAGCCACATGTGACTGATGGTATGTTGTTATATATTCCCTGAAGTTTAACAAAGAGACAGGTCTGTACAGTAGATCCAGTCATCAGCTAAACGTGGAGCCACAATGTAAACACACGTTTACATCAGCTAACATCAAACCGTGTTCGCTGACAAACTAAACAAATGATCGGGTCGCTGAGCAGCTAACCACCGAGGAGCTGTTGTGTCTCAGTAGCATGTTGTGACATGTTAGCTCGGCTAACGTGGCTAAGCTAGCTAGCACACCGAGCTAGGCCCGGACGAGTACTTAGATAAAAATAGAAGAATTCACTGCACACCGAACAGAACCACGGGCCGCCATGTTTTTAAAATATCAGAACTTCTGCCATATTAAGTGTTTGCTGTGAGTGTGGACAGATTCAATGGTTGACGTGTTTCTTACCTCATGGCTGCCGACAGCTACAGAGAAACAGGGGAAACAGGAAGTCTGGGGACCTACCATTATAGCTGGCATCGCGTGGGTGGATCAATTAGCAGTATCAGAGGAATATAGGCAGAGTTGATTGTTGATTTTAAGTAGTGACGTTTCGTGTGAGTTTTAATATTTATTTTTACATCCATAGTTTAATCTTTTTTTTTAAATATGTTTGTGTGCAATGGTTGACCCCCCCCCCATCCCCCCGATCACAGCACAGTGGTGCGGTCCAATAGGATGTATTTCAAATATCTGTCCGCTAGAGGGGGCGCTTTCTCCATGTTTCCATCTTTTTACGTTTAATTGACTGTTGAAAAAGAACTGAGCTGTTCGTGTTAAAGTCTATTTCTAAATAAAAGTAACTTAATTTTTTGGAGTCACTACATCTTGAAACATAAACACGGTTTCATTGTATTCTGCAAATAAAACTCATAAAGCTCATCCAGAGAAGAGAAAGAGAAAGCCATTAATCCTTAAAATGAACAGACATTCAGAACCAAATAAATGGAAGAGAGATGTGAGGGGCTGTGTTGACACACAGCTATTTTAACTTTTAATCATATTGAATGATTTGCTCTGTTAATGAATGTCTTGTGAAAGAGGGGCAGATTATGTAAGATCATTCTCCTTTCGGCTCCATTTCATTTCGAGATTTAAGATTTTGTGTTTGCATTTTAAGGTTCGGTGTGTACGATTTAAGTGATTGGCAGAAACTAAATATAAAATAATCAGGTTGTCAAATCAGGTCCTAATCAGACAAATTGTGGTTTTCTTTCCCCTAAAATGGGTCGCCGTGTTTTTTTACGGCAGTCCAAACTGGACAAGCTCAACACCTTTTGAGTTTTTATGACAACTGAAGCTGCTGCAGGTTCTCTGTCAAGTTTGGAAGGGGAGGGAGAGGCGAGGGCAGCAACATGCAACTTCACCACTAGATGTCACTAAATTCTACACACTGAACCTTTAAATTGTTTTGTTTGATCATGAATGAAATAAACTTGTGAATAAAAAAAATAATATTAGATGAATAAATATAGCAGTGGGTGAATAAATCTCAAGCTGTTATAGCTGGAATGATATAAATAAACTTTAATCCAAACAGTTCCAGGCCTGAACATAAAAGTGCTGTCACAGCTGGTGAAGCAAAAAAAAAAAAAAAAAACCCCGACACGCAGAACGATGCCCCCTCTGGCCGCTGGGTGAACTGCACCCTCGCCGTGTGCTTGGTGGCTGCTTCTTGTTCATCTCGTCACATCTTGATCCGGCGGAGCTGAGCCGGTTCCTCCCGAGCACAGCGGGGCCGAGCCAACACGACCCCGGAGAGCTCCGCGCCACCGGCTTCAGTCAACGGGGATATTAGTGCGATATGAGCCAGCGGAACACGATATTGAAGGTGAGTGTGGTGTCGCCCAGCCCGGAGACCACCCCGGCTTGCTAGCGGGCTAATGCTAACACATCGGTAACTGTCACCGAGGCGCCGCGGTTATTGTCCGGGGACAAACACAACAGCAGCCCCGCGACGTTAGCTGCTCGACGTCCAGGGGGAGCATTAGCCGCCGGTACCAGCCTTATCGCACTGAGGGGGATTTGACCGGTTTAACGTGGCGTTAGCCGGTTAACTTCAACATTAGCCGGGAGTTTAAAGGACCCCTGACGACACGGTGTATTAACCTTGACTTGCTGTGTTTGCTCCCGTGATGTAAATGGAATTAACCGGTGACACGTGAAGGTGCACCGGGTTCAATGGACTCCCCTGTCGGCAGCACGCCAAGTGCAACGTGCTGGAGACGCGCACCGGGACGTGGTTCACACGAGCCTCGCGGTAACGGGATCCATCCATAAGTCGATGATCCAGCTTTTATTCAGACATGACAGCAGCGTGTCCCCCTCCGCAGCCGAGCCAGACACCAGGCTGCCCTGCCCTGTGCCATTGTTGTCTGCCCCCCTGCTCCACACTGTATCTGCACAGCCCATCTGTCACACACACGCTCCTGTTTGACCCGCTTGTTGCAGACAGCTTGCAGCGCGTGAGACGGATTAACCCAGTCCTGGAAACTGTATGAACAGGAGAGTTAGTGTTCGTATATAAAAAAAAAATATATTACTGCTATTTATCCAGCATATTTAGATTGATATTGAATTGTGCCACGTTTGTTGTCAGTGCTATAGGCAATTAAACAACACTAGGCAACAAATCAATCATTATCACAAAGTAATTTTCTCCCTTTAAGTCATATATCAATATATTGCTGAGCACAGTGAGGCGGTATAACACACAGTTGATCTTCCTCTCAGTAGTTAAATGTTTTCCTGTGTCACCTGTCTGTCATTCTCTGTCCATCAGGAAGAGTTCAACACCACAGCCTTCACTCAGGAGCAATAATCAGTCTTTAGACTTAACATCAATGATAAAGTGACATTGATTGAGATGAGTATCGACATCAACTGATTTTTTATCTCGATGTCATTTTCGGGCCTTATCGCCCAGTTTTCTTTGCTAGTTTTGTCTTGCTTGATCGTAAAGTTAATAACATGATAAAATGTCTGCAAAGACGGGCCAAGCCTGCATCAGCAGACTACATTAGTGGATATTTTCTCTGTGCTTCAGAACTAACTTTGGTGCACTGTAATTTAGCTGATAAAGGGAAAAACACTTCACAAGTTAGAATGGTGCACTCCAAGAAAAAGAAATTCTGATTGTGCTAACATGACACATTTTATATCATGTGAAGACTAGAAAAGTAAAAATATACTCTTATTTATATATTTATACTTTACATGAGCCAGTTTATTACTTCAGTGGAAACTTTATTGCTCTATTAAGACTTCCTTTATCTGTTACCTAATCCCAAGCATCTCATTATTTCTAATAAAATCACCCCATCAAGTGGAGTACTCCCGGTCATTCACCCCTTTGGACCTCCTCATCAGTGTGCATATCACCTATTACCACAACAACACCACCAGAGGGACAATGGTTCACAAGGCATTCATTCACGGCTGGAACATTTATCCCAAGAGGGATGCATGTCTGTCGTCTCCCTTCAGCTTATTATTCTCAGACACATGAGGACGCACCCTCCCTCATGTTGCACATACTGTACAATGTTTGGTATGAGAGCCTTCATTCATAAAATGACACGCTCTTTACCAATGAATGAGGGACAATGGCTGCAATGTGTTGAAAGCTCTCACTTGGCTCTTTGCACTTTGACCTAGTCCCTGTAGGCCTTGCACGTTGTATTTTGTTATTGATGTGCAAATAGTTTATTTGTAGCAGTTGCTTTCATATTACATGACAGCAACTAAGCGCTCACCGTGTTTCCAGGCATTTCATTACATGTGTATTAAGCTCTTTTAATGTGAGTATTGGATGACAAACACTTTCCCTGAAGTTTGAGTGTTTTTTGCTTTCGAACAACCTGATGTGCTCCTATCCTGATTCTTGGAAAACCTCAATTTGATTTATTCAGAAAGAACCTGAGATACTGATTCAAACAGCGATCCAGGATTCACTTTGTGCAACCTGTGAATTCAGTGATGTAGAGCATGTGTCAAACAGTTCAAAGGTTCCATTACAGTTGCTATGTTAAAGCCTGATTATTCAGAGATATGGATGTGTTGGTTAGGGTTTGTTGCCATTGCTGTGCTGGGCCTCAAACAAGACTTTTGACAAAGGCCCTGGGTCTTTTTGTTTGTTGGACCAAAAGCCTTGTGTGTCTCCCACTGCAGTGACCACATCACTCACCTGCTTATAACTAGACAGAAAACAACAGGGGAGCAACAGACAACAACATGAGAGTTTTTTATTGTGTTTGTAGGTATTTGGGGCCCAGATGCTGCACACCTCCAGCTTAACAAAGGCTTAGCAGGACAATAGGCAGCATACTGTAGGACAACGTGTGTGCTCTGTGTGTGTGTGTGTGTGTGTGTGGTCACTCCAGGTCACATAATCTCCCAAATCTGTATTTTATAGTTCTTTTAATCTTCAACACGTCACCATAAAACAGCAATCAAATAGATATATTATGCCACAATGAACTTATATGGAAACATATTGAATTTCTTAATTGTCTTTAACCTTATTGTAATGTGTTGCATTCTGGTATTTAATATCACTCACTCGCAGATGTGTGACTCAAAAGACTTGAACGAATGATGTGCTAGAGGGAGAAGCAAAAGGTTAAGCCAGTAACAATGAATCCAGCCATATGAGTTGCATAATAGGCAGCTGTCGCCCGGTGTGTCACTAAGGTGAGGTGTTTGGGGCGTGTAACGTACGATACTTTCTGCTGCAAATCATTGTCAGTTATTTAAAGCACTCGAACCCGCCTGTAAGTCACATCCACAGTGTGCGTGGGGATGAGCGAAACAATGTAACCCTCACAGGTGGAAAATCGGGTCTAACTGTCGCCACCTCATACTCGTAGGGTGATGCATCGTGTGGGAGGGAGACACATAGTGGACTTTAGTGGTGAAATGAGGCTGGTGGCATCTGGCAGCAGAGGTTGGAGCTTCTGAAGAGCTACATGTACAATACAATTAAAACTTTCTGAAATCTAAATTGCTAAATGCTAATTTTCCTCAAAATTCAATTAGGTTCAAACAACATTTATGACTAGGTGAAGGAGGTGAAGTTAATTTCAAAAGTACTCTGGGAGTTGAACGCTCTTCATTTGCTTTAGGTTTGAATTAATCTACCTGAGGTTTGCCTGAAGTTAATTCTCATTTGGTTGGTTTGAAATAAGAGCTAACTTTGATGCCACACAAAAATAAATTTTCTGTTCTCTCGTGTAAAATATAAAAACTTGAAGATTGCCTGGAGTGATGTCTGTATTACAATGATGTCAAATGTAACCTCATGATATCCCTGTGTCTTCTCCAGCTTGCCAGCTAGTGCTGTGTGACCTGGAGGGAGAGCAAAGACAGCAGAGAACATGGAGCTGTCAGATGGCTTGTTGCTGCAGGTCAATAATGGAGAGCAGTGGTGTAACCGCTGGAAGCATCCCAATGATGACTCGGTAAGCCACAGATTCATCTTCGTAGTACCAGCATAGGATTCGTTTTGAACATCTAATCAGATTAGGTGTTGAATCTAGCCTCCACATTGTAAATGATACATAGAATATCCTTAATGATTTCTTGTTTGTAGGACCGCAGTACCAGCCCTTCAGTCCTGCGCTGTGTTACCAGCACGTGGAAGGAGGGACTGCTGAACAGAAAGAGGCCCTTTGTAGGCCGCTGCTGTCACTCCTGTTCACCACAGAGCTGGGTAATGTTACACCACAGATAATTAACTCCAACGTCAATTCATTTACTAGACTCTGTTCAGGTTCAGTTTATTGTTTGGTCCAGTGTGAATGTTTATGACTAAGAAGAAAGGAATTAATATGCAGCAGAGTGGAGTGCAGAGTAATTCTAATGCACTAATAGACTAAACAGACAGCGTAGTCTGTGGGGACGTGTGTTTTGACTCATTACTGGGGAAGTGTTCAATTCATTAACAATACATTTGCATTTGACCAGAAATTTATGCTGACTCTTTATCAGGCGGTCCTAGAGAGCTTAATCTGGTACGGTTTCACAGCCTGGTTTGGTAACCTCTCTGTGCAGTTTATTCATACTGCGTGGAAAATCGTCGGCATTAAAGAGCACAGATCCCTGCAGAATATTTATGAACAGGCTACTCTAGGACAAGCCAGTAATATTGTTAATGACACATCCCATATTCTGGTAGGAGTTTCAGAGTCTCTTGAGGGAGATTGAACCAATTTAGAAATGAATTTATCCTGGTGTCTATAAAGCTTTTAAATAGTGGCAGCTAAGACAGAATTGGCACTAGAGGACACTGAGTCCTCATTTGCATTGGTATTCTTATGGCTGGTTGGTACATATTTATCATAGTCATAGTTTTCTATATTTGAATCTGTTTGGTTGTTTCCATAATATCCATATGATCAGAGGCCATATCATGGTGAGCACAAGACTTACTGTATATCAGTATATCAAAGCAAAATCTGGTTTAATGTGCAAATAAATCAGATTGAATATGCCAGTATTATAAGTACATTCACTGAAGCTTCGTTGACACTTCAATGAAACACTTTTAATCACTTTCTGTTCTGTCACAGGAGAAGCTGTTCAACCCGAGTATTCCATCTCTGGGATTGCGTAATGTAATCTACATCAATGAGACCCACACAAGGTAAAGTGTATTTTGCATCATGAACTTCACGACCAGCCGGTTGACTTTTTGCTTGTGGTATTCAGGTCTGATGAGCCGTTAAGTGCCCCTTTGCATCAAGAGCAAGAGGTGAAGCACCTCCTGTACAGTACAGTGAACACATTACAGACACTGGTCTTCCTTACGACCTACGTATAAGTCAGGTGAACTGATCTGTGAAACAGTGGAAAGGTAGAGCGGTGAATAATTTAAAGAGTTTTTGTCAGTGGACACCGGACGCACGCATCCAGTGACCTAGCTTAACATGCAAAACACAAAATACATAAACTTTAATACTCAAATACCTCAACTCCAAAGCTATATTAACATGAGTTGGTTTGAATTTAAACATCTTGCTTTTTCTTTCTAAGTACCGTGTTGGTCATTGTGCACCAAATTGCAAGAGAATCTAGTTTTTTTTATTCTGCTTTGTCTTAGCATGTAAACTGAAACATCCGTGTCAGGATGGGCTGTACTCATAATGGTTAGTTAGTATTGTTAATTTTGTCAGTATTATGTGAACTGACCTTAACACAGCCGTCGTCATTGTTGTGAAGGCTGCAAGTAATGGATACGTAAGTTCGGCTACTCACTGGTTTCAGAAAATGTGTTAAATTACCAGGAAATCTATGTAATCAAATACTCCGAGTTTTATTTTTAACAGGCTCACAGTCAATTGGGAGCTGTTAAATTAGTCCCTCTGTTGTGTGTGTGTGTGTGTGTGTGCATGTGTGAGACAAATAGATGTGTGTCCACTGATTCTAAATCAACTATTCTACACAAATAATTTAACTGTATGTATTAGTATATGTTCACACAGCTTTACATCTTCAGTGGTGTGTATGTTTGTGTTTCACAGACAGCGGGGCTGGTTGGCGCGCCGACTGAGTTATGTGTTGTTTGTAATGGAGAGAGACGTGAACAAGGACATGTTCACCAGGAACGTGGTGGACAATGTGCTCAACAACAGCAGGTAGTGATCAACTCAACATCAGATGTTTGTAGGAGTTTCTGAGTATGTGGTAGCCGTATCTGGAATAAAACACATCTTTGTTGCTTGTCGTCTAGAAGATGCAGCGTTATATTTGAGCTCTGCTTCATGTGATTCCAGGGTGGAGACTGCAATCGTGGAGGTAGCCACAGATTTGGAGGCTGCAGCGAGCCAACCTGGGCAGGAGCCTAAAGCTGTTAGCAAAGTGAAGCAGAAAGCCAGGGCCTTCCTCCAGGAGATGGTGGCCAACATTTCACCAGCCTTCATCAGGTACATCTACAACAGAAATATCCCCCTTAGCTACTCCGATGAGTCATTGATTGAACTGCAGTCAAATTCACATTACTGCAGAATGTTGAACTCTCTTCTGCATCTTTTGTTTCCGTTCAGGCTGACAGGCTGGGTTCTACTGAGGCTCTTCAACGGTTTCTTCTGGAGCATACAGATCCACAAAGGTCAGCTGGAAATGGTCAAGAAAGCTGCTACAGAGGTTAGTACTAATGATCATATATGAAGTTGGATTTAAAGACAAAAGTTTTCTCTCACATATGTATTGTCTGTAAAAGTTCTGTCCACAATTAGAAATGGTCTGTTTTTATTTCAAAATCATCAGTATCTTTATCTTTCCAGCAAAATGTGCCCATGGTCTTCCTCCCTGTTCACAAATCTCACATCGACTACCTGCTCATCACCTTGATCCTGTTCTGTCACAACATCAAAGCTCCACACATCGCAGCAGGAAACAATCTGAGCATCCCCATCCTCAGGTAAAAGACCCACGAAGCCTGGTGTCAAGTTTGATCTGCAAATAAAGTGTTTTTCTGCCCTTTGTAAGTGAAAAGACCAGGAAGACTTTGATATCAGAAGAAAGGGAAGTCCCTGGAAATAGATCAGAGAGGAACATCAGCTCAAACATAGTTGCTGATTTTATATTGTGATATTAAGGGAATATAAACCTTGTTTTTTATAACCTGCCTCAAATCGTACATCTTCCTGAAGATAGGAGGAATTCCTCCTTAGGGCAGTGGAAGTATTAAACTGTGACAGGATACAGGAGAGGATGATTGACTTGATTTTATTAAAATTTTTCCCCCAGCACTCTGATCCGTAAACTGGGAGGATTCTTCATTCGGCGGAAAATGGAGGAAACGGGAGATGGAAAGAAAGACATTTTGTACAGATCACTCTTAAATGCAGTAAGTTCCAAGAGTCTATTTATCTAACACAGTTAAGTTTAGGTAAACATATGCGCTCACTTTACCAAGAAAACACCAACACTCATCACAAGTTATTAGGACCTGATCACTCACAGCACAAGACACACACAGCCAGGACATCAGGGTTAAAGTGACCGGAACGATCCAGATCATGATCCCACTATTACTGTTAATAATAATACTTTGCTAAAGCTGGCATCCATGTGTACAGAAATCTAATTAGGATAACTCCTCCTCAGCAAGAAGTACAAGCAATAAAGAAGCTATGTGCAGCTCTAACGCTGGTTGCTCTGGTGCAAGCTAAACCTGGACGTCAGTCGTCCTCCTAGCTTATTCCAAATGCCACAGCCTAGAGTCTATTTCAGGACAAAGCCTCTGCTCCAAAAAGTTTCTACATAGCAAGAGACAGCTGAGAACATAGTGTACGCAGGAGACCAATGCACAACATGACTTCTTTGGCACGTGCTCAGTTCCCTGCAATGTGTTGATGATGGTGGGGGGATGTCAAGCTGTTGACCTCCACTCATTTTTAGCTTGCATATACAACAGCATAGCTTTTATTTAGATTAACCTCCAACTTGTAATGGAGTCAATGTGAAGGTTTTTGCACAAATAGTCCTTCACACACAGTGTTTGCACATTTGTGTCACTTCTAACATCTAGTCATTGCCGCCATTTCTCATTCAACATCATCCCACCCTTCTCACTTGCACGTTTCATCCGTCTTCCTTCAGTACACAGAGGAGTTGTTGCGTCAGCAGCAGTTTTTGGAGGTCTACCTGGAGGGTACTCGCTCTCGCAGCGGTAAGCCGTCCACAGCACGTGCAGGCATGTTGTCCCTTGTGGTAGACGCACTGTGGTCCGGGTCCATACCTGACGTACTGGTGGTGCCAGTTGGGATCTCCTACGACCGGATCCTTGAGGGCAACTACAATAGTGAGCAGCTGGTAAGTGCCTGGATGATTATGGTTATTTCTAAGGTTTTGCTACGTCGTTAAAAAACACACTCGCCACAAATGAATTTTATATTGTGACTTGGGGGAAGATTTTTATTGCAGTCTGTTTTCGAAACAAGAGCGTTTTGAATATTTCAAAGTCTAAACTGCTCCTGTCTGAACTCGTCGATGCCTGCAGGGAAAACCCAAGAAGAATGAGAGCTTGTGGGGAATAGCGTGTGGAGTGTTCCGGATGCTGAGGAAGAACTACGGGTGTGTGCGGGTTGACTTCAACCAGCCGTTCTCTTTGAAGGTGATTGATTGCAGGTTCAGCTTTTAACAAATATAACTACTTTTATCATTGCCGCATGTATTGCTAGATAATGAAAAGCTGTTATATCTTTTTAACATGCTACAACTTCAAGATTTCATTAACCTAAGAAAATAAGATCATTGCTAACACACATTCATCACAGTATTAACAGACTTTTACTGAATGAACCTTTTGTGTGTCAAATAAAGGAGTACCTGGGTACCCAGAGAAACCGCCATATTCCACCCCCAGAGTCCCTGGAACACACCTTGATGCCCATCATTATTTCTGCACAGTAAGTGTAACCACGCTCCAAACATCACTGAAATCTTTATCCGGCAAGTGTTCATGCTCAAGGAGGAGTCCCGCAGTCCCACCTGTAACATTATGACCCCTTGTCTCCATACTTGAATTCTCCCTCCTGCTTCTTCGCAGCAGGGTCTGTTATCTGAGATCTGAGCTCAGCACTTGAGTTGATAGGAAGATGTCACTTGAGTTCAGCGCTGTCCCTTCATAATAAAAAGCTTTTGTTATGTAATGTCAGCTATTTTTCCTCTCTGTTTCTCGTCTCGATTGAAAGAGTTTCCAAACTTGCTTTCTTGCTTTCACACATAATAGATGTTTACATAGATGCCACTACAATGCCGTCATACTAAGAAGGTCCTCTTCACTGTGGTGACATAGATCCAACTCATGTGCTGTCAGTTTTAAGTCTGTTTAACTTCTAACCTTCTTGGACCCATTGTCAGAGTTATTTAGACTAGTTTAGAGTCACAAGTTCAGGACTCATACCAGAAGAGGTGTTGATTAAAGACCTCTTCACGCAAACTGCGTCAAATACTATTTCATTCAAATAATAATAACATTTTGCAAGTAATCAGTATCTCGAGTTGTGTTTATTTAAAAACACTAATCAAGGTGTATAGTCTCAGTCTAAACTATGAATTAAACATTGTATATATGTGGTCATCAAGTCATTTACCATAGTGTTTTCAATTTGACCCAAACTTTCCGAAGTATATTTTATAAGCCCATGTTTAAAGTCTCTGACCATATCAAGCAGAAATAATAAAATTGTTGTCAACCTGTATTTTTACAAGGTTATTTGCTACCATGATTCTCTCAGGCCTGATGCTCAGCTGTTCGAGCGGCAGGAGGAGCAGCAGCAGATGAATAGAGAGCTGCCTGATGACATCTTCAGACGTCAACTTATTAACAACCTGGCCAAGCACGTCCTCTTCAGTAAGAAATCCACCATGAAACAGCTTGTGATATTATTATTATTCCTTAGTATGAAGGAAACTGTCTATAATATTGTATATGATCATGGTCATAATTCATCACAAACCCACCAGGAAGTAAAAATAAATCACATCTCACTCAATAGAAGGTCAGAGCACATGGTTCATGCTTTAGGAGGCACTGCTCCCAACATGTCTAAGTACAGGGCTCTCCTCATCTTGTGATAAAGGTGCACCTGTTTACTGGAGCAAAAGCAGCTCTCATGAAATGTATCCATCATACCCCCTCCATTGAAATCCAACACAGCACTGCATCAGTACATCTGCTTCACATCACTCCGGGCATTTTACTCTAGGGTAGCACTACAGAAACCGGTTCCCCCCAGCCAATTCAGCTGCATTTTTTTCCCCCGCCCTCAACCAATCATAGAGTCCCCAGCTGGATGGCATGTTGTTTTTAGCCAATGGGATGTAGGGTAGGAAAGTGAGGCAGGAGAGGGGAGGAATGCAGTACCAGTGCTCACAAATGTTTTACACCCACCAAACCTGAACTAAACTCAAGATGACCAATAGTAACCCCTTGTCCTCACACACACTACATTTTTCTCTCTCTAATATGATATCAATAATCTCAACTATTTTAATTCCTGTCTTTCATTCCTACTCATAACCAAATAAAAATCCAGTTCATTGAACATTTTACATGATCTTTAAACCAGTGAACAGAAACAATTTTCAAAATATAATGTGTAAAATATTTGCTAGAAGATGTGATCTGTCATATTGATTGATTCACAGAAATTGTGAATATAGTTGCATGAATTTTATCTTGATTGATTGACATTGAAGCTTAAGCTCTTCCCTCCAGCTTCATGACAGTTGCAATCGTCTCTGCTTTGATATTATCTTTGTGTTGTGTGTTGTTAATAATTTGTCTTTGGGTCTTCCTCACAGCGGCTAATAAGTCGTCAGCAATCATGTCTACCCACATCGTTGCCTGTCTGCTGCTGTACAGACACAGACAGGTAAGTGTCTGTCTTTCATTTCCCCTCTATTCTCTGAAACAACCCCACCCCTGCCAATTCCCCTCTCTCTTTTCTTCTTTGCATGCTCCCTTCATTACCCCAAGGTGATCCAAATGTCACGTACCCCTGCATGGTAGTAAGAGTTCTCGCTCTTCCTGCCTGCGCACTATTCCCTTCTGTACTTTAGTGGTAAGCTTCTGCCCTCTGCAGGCAGACCGATGTAATTGGGTGACAGTGGAAATTTTTTCCCTGGTGCATAAAACAAACTTACGGCAGTTGCAGCTCTCTGTTGTTCTGGATCTTGGTTTATGGAGTCACCACACTGTGCAGATGATCCACGTTTTTTGTTTTCAAATTATTTGTGCATGTGTTATTCTTTGTTTTCTCTCCAGGGGGTGGTGCTGTCAAAGCTGGTGGAAGACTTCTTCAACATGAAGGAGGAGATCCTCTCACGGGACTTTGACCTGGGCTTTTCAGGGAACTCGGAGGACGTGGTCATGCGTGCCCTCCACCTCCTGGGAAATTGTGTCAACGTGGCCAGCAGTGCAAATCGTAATGGCGAGTTCACGATCGCACCCAGCCAAACTGTACCAGCGCTGTTCGAGCTCAACTTTTACAGCAATGGCCTTTTCCACGTCTTCATTCCTGATGCAATCATTGGTACGTTGAGCCAGCAATTCTTGTTCTGTGTTAACTCTAGTGTATCACTGAACTTTGTCATCAAGCTTCATGAGTCTTAAAAAGTCCTTGTTAGGCTTTCCAGTGCTACACGGTTACATTTTTTCCCATCTAAAATCTCTGTCCTCATTTGTCTGCAGCCTGTAGCATCCTGTCACTGCAGCGAGAGCTGGTCGTGGAGTCAGAGTCTGATCAGCCGTCTGGTGGTCCCTGTGGCCTCCTTCTCAGTCAGGAGAGACTCATCCGCAAGGCTGCCGGGCTCTCCCACTTCCTTACCAACGAGGTGGCGGTCGCACCTGTAAGTTCCACATTTTTGTGAAACAACACAACAAAAACCTTGTCCCTTGTTGCACGGCTGTGAGTGAATAATGAAAAGCCTTTCTTATATGGAAGACAATGAAATATGAGCAACACACTGATGGATTTTGATAGTTATAGTATATTCTTGTATTACTGGCTGGCAGCTTAGGTCCAGAGGTTTTCACTGTTTGGTGTCAGATATGGGATTTGATTTTTTAATTTTGTTCATTTTAACACATAGTAAATCTAAAGATTTTCCTCCATCTCTCATTGTCACCACAGCCCTGTCAGACAATTTACCAGGTTTTCCATGATGCAGTGACCAGGCTGATCCAGTATGGAGTTCTCTACGTAGCAGAGGTCAGTTTAAACACACAAAAATAGGAGTATGTGCTGTGACATTAGATGTGAGTTGAGTCCGTGTGAACATCTTGGGAAGTGCTGCTTCAGTGGTTCAGATAGTCTAACATTTGTTTGTGTTTGTCAGGATGAACAGGAGGAACTGAGCCCCAGCCCCACAGAAGAACCTTGGTCCAAGAAGTTTCCCGAGCCTCTGTCCTGGAGAAGTGACGAGGAGGATGAGGACAGTGACTTTGGAGAGGAACAGAGAGATCGCTACCTAAAGGTTTGAGTTAAAGAAACACATTTAATCCAGTTGTATCACAACCATGGCACATTGATAACTTACACTGTCCAGCATCTACAGCCTCCAGTCACTGACCTTCGCTGTTTCTCATCAGGTGAGCGTTTCCGCAGAGCACCAGGACTTCTTCATCTTCCTCCAGCGGCTGCTCAGCCCTGTGCTGGAGGCGTACAGTGGGGCTGCGATCTTTGTCCACAGTCTGAGTCAGCCCATGGCTGAGTCCGAATACACCCAGAGGCTTTTCAGATACCTGCTCACCCGCACAGAGAGAGGAGTGGCTGCTTATGGTAACACTGAATTGTTTTCTTCTCCTTGTATGTGTTATTCTTAATGAGCTCATGTAAATAGAGTATCTTTGAATATCTGAAACCTTCATAAGCCTATTTTTTTCTTTTTCAGGCGAAAGTGCAACTCATTACCTTGTTAAAAACACAGTGAGGACATTCAAAGAGCTCGGGGTAAGTGTTTATTGAATTATAGGCCAAATTAAGATGTGCTACATGCTAGGTGTTTTTCTGAATAGTGTCAGTGAAGTCGTGATTGGAAGCTGTTCAGGTTCCTCCAGCTGGATTAAAGTTTTTCCTCCTGTTATTTCTATGTAGGTTTTGAAGGAGAGAAGAGAGAACAAGGTGACAACTCTGGAGCTGAGCACCACCTTTCTACCTCAGACCAATCGGAACAAACTCCTGCAGTACATCTTAGGGTTCACGCTGCTGTGACCAAGACACACCTTCCAGCTCAGACCCCAGGCTCCTTCCACTAAAGGGCTTCTACTGGTTACTTCAAAAACAATCCCAGGTGCTACTCTGTGGAACACTTTACCAGGAAGTGCCTTCACGCAAAAGCCGCTAACTGTTAGCTGTTAGATGGAAGAGACTTGAAGCCAGTCTTCCCTTTTTTTTGTCTGTCTGTGACTCCCTGTCTTGGAACTGTGCAGCTGATGAAATACACGTGCTGTTACTTTGAAGAGGTACGTCTAGGTACAATCCCCCTCTTTGTGAACGTTGCCAGTGAAGACGTTTTAATACTATCAGAATTTTAAACCATCAGAAAATATACAGCAGGATAGTAAACAAACACTTTTACAGCAATCTGAATAAAACAAGCTGCCTTTCATCATCACAAGTTAACAAGCGAAATATGCATAAAAATAATGGTAAACGTAACCAACAACAACAATATTTTTATGTTAACTCTCTGTCTGTAAAACTGCTATCATACAGTAGAAAACAAAATGTAGTTTGAAAGCGTTTTGAAAGTAAATTCCTGTACATAGGGCACAAGAGAGATTTCTCTTGTTTATAGTGCATTTAAATACATGCACTCTGGCATCATCAGTAATATAGGTAACTTAAATAGAGAGATTTGCTGAACCCTGGGAGATATAGTATCCCTGCTAAATGCGAACATATGCAAATTTTCATTCACAAAAATATTTGTACAAATCAAATCCTCCGTAATTTAAGTCATTCTGCACAGTTTAAGATATCAAAACAATAAGCTGCAAAACCAACTCAAATATTTAAAAGTATTTACTCGGCAAATACAAAATGTACCTGTTCAAAGGCCTGGTTAGTTCAAGCCTAAGATCATGAGTATCCATATTTAAGTGCATTCAAACAACTAATATCTAAGTTACACATTTCATCTTGAGTTTTGACGAGGAATGATCTTTGTGTTTGTGCAACACATTTCTTTTCACATTTCAATGAATGTTACATCACACAGCTCTTAATATACTTGATACCAGCCATCAAATCCACTTTCATTCAAACGTAACAAGCTCAGAAACTCTTTGGTCGTGATTTTCAGGGACGGACTTCTGCTGAGAGAGCAATCTCACTCAGACAATTGTAAGTGCCGTTTGAACAATAGGTCAGTTCTTTGAGAGTTAGTTATTAGTGAGAATGTATTAGTGTTGTTGATGTTGTTGTACTGTACTTTGAGTTGTTTACTTTTTAACACAAACTGCCGTGAGAAGCAGTAAAAACAAACAATATCCTCAACAGTTTATTTTCAGATTTTCAGCACGTTTGTTCTACTTTCTCAAATTTATATTGTAAAATATATATATATAGTTAAACTTAAAACTATTTGTATTTCTTTTTTTTTTCTAAAATGCATGTTGGAAAGAATTGTGTCGGGCATGCTGGGATTAAAAAGGCGTTGATGATGAAAATCAAAAACACACCTAAACAAGAATACTCGAGCGCATACCTCCGCCAAGGCCCCACAGTCCCATAGATATTAGTCCCCCAAAATATGCCTGATTTTTATATTCATCATGGTCCAATTCTCTAAAAAAGAAAAAAGAAAAGCTTGCTTTGTAAAAGAAAAAGGAAGATCTGCCGCAAATTGAATGGATTCTTTCTTGGCTCGCGTACCATCCTTTCACCAAGTTTTTTGTGGAAATCCATTCAATAGTTTTTGCATATTTTTGCCGACCAACAAACAAATAAATGGACTGGAGCAAAAGCATAACCTCCTTGGCGGAGGTAACTACCAAAGTAAAACACGAGTAGAGTTAAAACATTTCAGTGGAACCTCACAGCACAGCCCCCGTGCATTTAGCTACAGTAGTTTTGTGTTTTATTGTAAAATAAGTTCGTAACACAACGGAACTCTTGTCTTATGTGTTAACTTGTAAATCATGAGCATAAAGGTTTAATATTCGTTGGTGTATGTGTGTCATGCAAGGCTGACACCAGATAATAAGAAAAGCAGGATGGCGGGTGTTTGGAAAGCTCAGAGGAAGTCTGGTGAATCGTCGTGTAGGAACTACTGACCCAAATCTGTGATGAGTGATAATGTGAAGACATTGTGAATGTTAGAAGTCAACATTCTTCATCTGTCTGGGCAATAAGATAAAATGAGAATTGGGTGTCTGATTTACATTTAAATTCATATCTACACTGAAAGAGCTGTACGATTAATTAAAATCTTCCCAACTCACAGCGATATTTAATGTTAAACTGCATATTTTCATGCAGTTTGAATTTGTGTATGAAATAACCTGCGATTAGAAAACGATGTACTTGTTTGCAGATTGGTGAATTTCACTAGTAGCATGTGGAAGAACAGAAAAGTATGTGATTTAAGTGGAAATGCGATCAGAGAACATAAATATAATGTGTCCATGCTGAACCTCAGCTGAAACTCTGACATTTATAGCTTTTCTGAGCCCCACCTGCCCCACACACACTGAGGGGACGCACCGCCAGGACAAAACCACTACTCAGACTGTACTGCATGTTTCCTCTGGTCGCATTCTAATCATCGACTCTTCAATGTGAAATCCACTTAACCTGGGAATTGTGTTTTACAGTCTAGTGTGTATTATGTTTAAGAGCATAATAGCTGTTTGTGTAGGAGATAAAAAAATGTGTTACCTCTTGAATGTATCTCATCTGTCCCCTGAAAGGTTTGTGTGATGTTCTAGGAAACTCCATAGAGTCTGTACAGATATGATATAGTTTTTATGAACTGCTCGTGGGGTTTGTTGAGACTGAAGCTTCATTAACAACATCCCACTGCAACTACTATGTACAAATTTTGTAGAATTAAAAAAATCATGCCTGTATCTGGGGAGCAGGTGCCTTTTTAATGCACTGTAGTGTTCTTTGGTCGTGTTTCTTTTTTTGTTGTGTTTCTGTGCATGTTAAAGATTCTTTCATGTAGAAATCAAAAAGGCCGCTGTGGGTTGTAACTGAAAAAGAAAAAAATATACACACAAGTGCAGAGAACCTGTGGTTACTAAAAAAAAAAGAAGCACCAGCTACTAAAAACAAATGTCACTTTTTTTTGTTCTTGCTTTCTCAAAGCATAGCACAATTGGCATTATTCTATCTTGTTTTTGAATAAATTAATGATAGATTAACAATGGTCTCTTGTCTGTTGTTTTATTTTGGGGGGTGGGACAGTAAATGTTTCAGTGAAGCAGTGCCACCAGCTCACCACACTTACAATTATTTTTACTGTCCACTATCAATCGTTGGATTATTCTATTCTTAATATTTCCATGAAGATTGTTTATAATTGGGTGTTCCAGTAAACTAATGACTTAGGAGCTGGACCCAATATCGCATGTTTTGGTTTGGTTTGTAAGGTTTTGGGGTTTTTTATCAGTTAACTTCATACGTGTATTCTCCTCAGTGCGTCTGCTCACACATTTTTAAGGTCTGACTTTGCAGGTTGGTTGTTTGTGGACTTTCCATAATTCTTCTGTGAGCTTGTTGTCCTGCTGCAGAATGACATTAAAAAGATCAGAGCCTGATAGTATTATATGATGAATCTAAAGTGCCCACAACCTTCCCACTGTACGCTTTATATTCTCGTGCGGTATACGACAGAGGAGATTTGACAGCAGACACCAGAGAGGGTTGAGTGTGGTATTTGTGCTAGAAAGAAATAACAAAATAATTATTTGATAATCAATCTTAATGCCAAGTAATTGTTTCAGCTCTACACTTCACAGATTTGTTTGTACCTTTACTATGTGCTGTTTCATAAGTCAGAACCGGCTGCGGAGGGCGGGCTGACTTGTGTGTTTATCTTAAGGACAAGAGGGAGATATTAGGACGGAGACAAACAGAAGCTCCTGTGACAATGAGGACGAAACAGAAGCGACGAGTGTGCATCCTTCTACCCAACAAGCAGCACCTGGACTGTACCATCACAGTGAGTGGCTTTCTAAGTCTGTTTATTGGTTTGTTTTATTGTCTTAATGCATCACTTAAAATTAAATACGTTCATATATCTCAACCACTTAAAGGCTTTTCTTCCATGCCAGTGATGAGACAGAGGCATTTAATTTAGTTGCATATGGCTTGAAGGTAATTATTCTAATGCAAAAACTGGTATAGAGAGCCCATTATTAAAATGTTTGTGCTGAGCAAAGTGAAAATGTTTTTCCACAGTATTCAGTCACATGATCACTTGATATTCAGTAAAATATCAAGTGATCATGTGACCCCAGAGTTCTCTCGATTACAGATGACTGCTTTTTGAAGTGAGGATTGTTTGAAATGAAAAAAATCCTTAAAATTTGTGTTTACAGCATAATCCAATTTACAAAAAATATATATATAATGATTAAATATGCAAATAAATTACCTAATAATCAATACAATCTTGTGTCACCATTATTATTACACTGTGTGTTCTTCAGGTGAGAGCCAGAGCCCAGGAGGTGTTGAACAGCGTTTTGAAGCAGCTCGGCGTCACTGATCTCTACATCTTCGGCCTGGCTGTTCTCAGAGGTAAGTTATCGTGTCACATGTGCGGGAGGTGGAGTGAAAAATGTTTTCACTTCATTCACTGTGGAATGCTGAAGTGAAGGGAGGATGCTCACGATGAAGGGAGTAGAAACTCCTCATTAGCCTGTAGACGTCATTTGACGATGATTATTTCAACTGTATTTAATAAACTGTGCACAAAACAATCACTGGACTTGATGCCATCTACTCTGTGTTCATTGAAAGTTTATATTTTCCCGACAGATAATGAATATCTCTTTCTTGATTTGGACCTGAAGTTGAGCAAGTACTTTGGCAAACGATGGAACAGAAGCTCAACAACAGTGAGTTTTAGTTGTTATCTTACAATTCAATGAACATCAGGTCTTCGTTGCATGACTTTTGTGTCTTAAATAACTCCACCTAAATAAGCATTTATATAAGATATTCCTCTTTGACTCTGTTCTGAACATTCTCAGGTCCCATTCATCGTATTTCTGAGGGTGCAGTATTATATAGAGAATGGACAGCTGATACTGTAAGTTGATTTCCCATCAGCATCCTTTTCTGAAAAATTAAAAAGCTCCCAGACGTCCACATAACAGAATTGACATTTGTGATTTTTCTACCTGGTCATTTCAGGAGCAGCAAAGTGCAGCAGCTCTACTACACCGAGCTGAGGCAGAGGGTTCTTCGCTCACAGAGCCGCCAGCAGGAAGCTCTGTTCTTCCAGCTCGCAGCTTCTGCTCTTCAAGCTGAAGTTGGAAATCTGGAGCAGAGAGATGGGAATGAAGAAGAAGAGGAAAGATGTTACTTCCTTCCTGAGGATTACTTCCCCTCCTGGGTAAAAATAGACTTACAAATGAAATCACATTCATTACATTTGTTTGTATGTGACATTATTATGTTGTGCTCAGCTGATTACACGTCGAGGGCGAGCCTACCTGCTCCAGCACTGCCCTGCGTTGCACGAGGAACTGAGAGGTGTGACACGCAGCCAAGCCATGCTGCAGTTTATCAAAGAGGCCGGCAGCCTCCAAGACGGACCGGTCACCTTCTACAGGATGAGACAGGTCAGACTGAACCCAGACATGATGATTCAACTCCCTGAGGAGAAAACTCCTGATAAATCTGGAAAGAAGCAGACAAACAATATCATATCAGAGGGTTGTGAGGTCTAAGATGCTGTTGGTGTAAATTGTGGAGCAACTTGAACCTTTAATATAAACATGTACAAGATTAAGACATAACACTACACTGATTATTCCTTTGCCAAGCTGCTTATTTCTCTAATCTAGTCTCTCATCTTTAATCTTTAGTTTTTAATCATTTTTTGTGCATATTTAATGGAAGATCCTGTTCCCTGCTGCAGCATCTGTTGTAAGTTCCTCATGTTCTTTGTTCTCTGCAGGAGAAAAGAGAGCGGAGAAGTTCAATCCTTCTTGGGGTGGTGTTGAAAGGAGTCCATATTTACGAGGTGGCTCCTCCTCAATGGCAGGAAACACTACATTAAGTTGGGCCATTTGTTTGTGTATATGCACATTATTTGGGGAAGGTTTTGACTTGTGAATGTAAAAACTGTTTAAACCAATTTATTTGTGAGTTGGATTATTTTATAAATGTCAACTGATTAGATTTGTTCCCTGAAGGAGGTGGAAGGGAAACTGTATCTGTTGCACAATCTTTCTTGGACCGACATCGACCGCTTCACTTTCCAGGTTGTGGCCCTAAAAACACTACGTACATACTTAAACTTACATAAACTTACTGCCACCTATAGAACATCACCTCCACCTCGTTTCTGATCCCTCCCTTTCTCTTGCTCTCCAGGGCAAACGGTTTGAAGTCGCTGCCGTCGGGTCTCTGTGTCTCCCTGAGCTGGTGTATTACACTCACTCTGCCTTCCACTCCAAACACGTCCTGAGGCACCTCAGTGACAGTCACCGACTACACATCGACACCAGAGATGCAGTCCTCTACATCCAACAGCTTGAGGACATGGAGGGTCAGTAGGTGCATACTACAAACTCAGGGACTTCTGTTTGTGGTACATGTCCATAAGGGGACAGTCATTATGTTCAAGGCCAAGCTGTTGCAATATAAATTACTGCAAACTCAACAAAATCATTGTCACTATTTCAGACTCGTCACAATTTGGACTTAGTATTCTCTCAAAAATTCAAAAGTACATTTTTCCTTTTTCTTTTTAAATGTCTGGGTGCAGCCAGTCACTTCTACAAAGAGGCCTACATCTGTGACACAGAAGGCCTGAGACAGCGGCTTCAAACCAGCAACCTAACGTCCTCCATGTCTGACTGCAGCGCTGCAGCGGGAACAAGCGCGGCCTGGTCCAATGAGGAGGAGGAAGAGGAGGTGGAGGAAGATGAAGACTCTGTCACAGGTCAGCTCAGAGGAAAAAACATGTTCCACTGTCTCCATGTTACTCAGCTGCTTAGCATTCTGTTTTCTTGGGATACACTATAAGTGACATCTAAGAGAAATAAAAACATTGAACAGTAAAGGCAGCTGAAGTTGTGTTTGTGTTGACTGTGGCAGAGTTTGAGTTGTGCGTCGATGAACCAGAGGAGGTTTTTGTTGATGACCCAGCTGAGGTGTCCTGGCTGGCTGAGCTGATCCGTGGTGCCTCTGTCGATGGACAGGTCGTGTTCCCCTCCTCTTGGGAAGGTTAGTCCAAAAAAAACAAAAACATACACAAATCTAAAACAATTTTCATCTTGTGTTCATCACTTCATGCATCTCACAAAATCTCATGTCTTCTCTCATCAGCCATCACTACGGAAATGAAGCAGGTGAGCAAAATGCTGATCTCTCTCTGATTGATTCAGTCCATCATCAAAGTTTTCAGTGTTTTTTTGTGTCTGATGTTCTGCAGGTTCTGAGGAGGAGAGCTGATGAAGGAGTTTCTGTGGACTAATGTGCAGCCAGAGGAGAAAACAGACTCACTACACATCCTGCAGCAGAAGAAGAGAACATTTGTTGTGGCTTCTGTTGCCATTTCTCTGTCTTTTGACTTGGTGTTGGACAGTAGAGAGAAGTTATAAGTGGACACTGTCTTGTTAATATTTTCAGTTCTTGCTTAGTTGTTGTGTACATTTATTATTTTCCTTTATTGAAAACAATCATCACAATTACACATTTCAATTAATTAATATTGATGGATACAGATCGAACTGTAATAACAGTAAGTTCTGCTTTTGTATTGTTTTTTGGTTTTTTTCAAAGCTCCACATTGGCTCACCTTCCTAATATTGTTAAAAAACAACTACAGTTTAATCAAGTCATTGGAATTCATTAAATACAAACGTGACAAAGATTTTCTTTAATTTCACTCAACTTAATTTAACTCAATGTATGGTTTTCACACATCACATCATCCTTGTCTCTTTTATATTTCTCTTGTATTTACTTTTCTTGATTTGCTGTCAAAGCACTTTGTAAACTCTTTAAAAAAGTTTTATCTAAATAAAGTGTGTTCTTTGTATTGTTTTATGAACATCCTATTTCTTATTCAGTGTTGTAAAGTGTCCATTCAACATTATACACATTTTGTAAATGTCTTAAAGTTTTCTAAAATTAAAAAAGAAAAGAAAACTGACAGCGGCCATGAATCGCGTCATCGTTTAGTCAACCAATCAGCGGCCGGCTCTGACCCAAACACGGAAGCTGCTCAGACAGCTGATAGGAAGCAGAAGTTGAGGATCGTAAACATGAAGCCTGAACGTGAATAAACACGTAAACAGTAGAAACACCAGGATCAGTAGGTGACACAGTTTTCTCTTCATGGCTTCCTCTTGGGTTCGTGTCGCTGTGCCGCTGGGTTTTGCGGTTTTATCGGTCGCTGCCGCCATTGTTGTACAGAGTCAGGGTAAGAGGATGCAGCTGGATGTGAAACGTGTGGTTGTGACAGCGGAGGAGAAGCTGAGTCTGGTTGCGTGTTGATTCTAAAAGATGGTAAAACGGGTGTAACATAGACCCACAGCGCCCCCACCTGGCTTCTCATTCTCCCCGCGTCTCTCCCACAGGGATGCCGCCGCTCCTGCCCGCCGCCTTCGGTGTGTGCTCCCTGGCCGGCATGGCGCTCCTCTGGAGGGACATCGGCTCCAAGATGAAGGGTGAGAGCCGGACGTGGAGCGGGCTGCTCGGCCAGTACGTGGCCGTGAAGGCGGTGGGCTGGCTGGGCAGGAGGCAGAGGAAGAGGCTGGAGGACGACACCATCAACGTGAAGCGGGTCCAGGAGGAGACGCTGCTCAAGCGCCTGCGTAAAAACGCAGACACGAGTTATGGAAGAGAGTTCGACTTCAGCTCAATGAAAGGCAAGAGGAGGAACAACACTGTTTAAATGATCCGTTTGTGGACACGTGTGATGTAACAACACGTTGAACTGCTGCAGCTCTCACACACAGTCGTCCTTGAACTGAGCTGTGATGTAACATGATATACGGTTTACATAAAGTCTTTAGGTACAGCAGGCGATGCCAGTAGGACCAGGACCAGGATTCACTGAGGTTTTAGCCCTAAAATCAATGTTTTTACTTAACTTCATACGTTTTCTTCACCTTACTCTGAGTGATAATTCATAATCAAGTAGTCAATACGTTATCAGTGATTTTTTTTCTTCAAGGAAAGGATCAAAAAAGTGTAGAATAACTGTTATAATCCCTCCCAGCTCAGGTCAAGGTTTCCTTATCACTTCTGTTAGTTGATTATCAGCCCATCAGACATTTATTTTACTTCCTCACATTTTAGAATCTTGAAAATGTTTGTTTTCTTTCAATTTAATCTCACTAGTATGTGAGTTGGTGATATCACAGCCAGTCTGCTCATGGTCAGTGAAATTAATATTTATAGTATGTCTTAGACTGTTGTTCACGGTGACACTGCCATTTCAGACAGCGCCAGTTTCCGGGCGCGTCACCCCATCACCACGTATGAGCATTACCGAGAGCTCATCAGACGCATCGCTGCAGGAGAGGAGAAGGTGATCATCGCCGAGAAGCCGCTGATCCTGGCCATGACGTCTGGGACGTCGGGATCCAGCGCCATGCTGCTCAGCACCAAGGACACCAACACTGAGTTCTTCCTGCAGGTGAAGCCAGCGCTTGGTGTCAATGATGTGTTGGCCCAGCTGCACCCTGTGTTGTGCTATTGGTCATATAAAACTATGATGATAACAATAATCATTTGTGTTTGTCCACCAGGGAGTGACTGTGTGTTTGGACGCCATGCGGCAGGCGTTCCCTGCGACTGACAGCCTGCAGCGCACGACCAAGTTCTTCTACACACCTACTTTTCGCCAGTCTGAGTCCGGCATTTCCATTGGACCTAACTCCTCCACGCCAGCCTCCTCCCGCCACATGCTGAACCTCTACACCACCCCAGCACCCGCCTTTGAGGTACAATAAACATATTCATTGGTCTGGATGTCGCCTGTTTGTGTGTTTAATGATTTGAATGCAAATCAAATAAACATTTCTGCATGATAAAATAAAACTGTTCTGTCCGCATACCCTTTAGGTTCTTAGTGAGAAGGATACCCTCTACCTGCACCTCCTGTTTGCACTGAAGGATCAGAGTGTGGGAACGCTGGAGTCCAACTTTGCATCCACAGTTTTCTATGCTTTCACTGCCCTACAGGTACAGCCTTGGTCACCACGGTTACATGGCACGATTTTTTCTACATGCATCACTCTCTTCTCTAATTCATAAGATTTATAAATGCAGCAGCAAATGATTTAAAATGTGCTGTAAAATAATACGAAACCCAAAAATCCTGTGTTTATTTAATTTATTTGATGAACTAAGGATAAGAAAAGTAATTTCTCTCTGATCTCCTCTCCATCCTGTAGGATCGTTGGCAGGAGCTTGTGGGGGACATCGAACGAGGGACGGTCAGCAGTGCTCTGGCTCTGGAGCCCAAAGTGAGGACCAGACTCGAAGCTCTGATGAAACCAGACCCAGAGAGAGCCGCTCAGCTCCAGGTCAACTTCCAGGACGGCTTCAGGGGGATCGCCAAGCGGCTGTGGCCTCACCTCCACCTGGTGCTGGCTGTGGACTCGGGTTCCAATCAGATCTACGGGGAAATGCTGAGGGAGAGTTACTGCCAGGGGGTGCCTTTCTACTCACCCTTTTATGCCGCTACTGAAGGTAAGAACCTGCACGCGACCCTGGACGCTGCTGTGGGAACAGCTGCTGTGAATGACAAAGTGACAGTCAGTTCTGGGCCAGGAACATTCTCCCTGACATAACAGGTGGAGGGCGAGTGTCCTACTGTACTGTGAAAGCCTCACAAGGTCCCATAATCCAATGGTCTAATAAGCACATTAAGTATGTATTATGCTTGGCCCACAACAGGACTCTACAGTTAATGTAATGTAAGTAGCATTCATTGACTTAAAAGCTCATAAAATGATGCAGGGACCAAAAACTTTCCAGTATTAGTATTTTTAGTCATCACCTTAAAAAGTACATTTGTTGGTCAATGGTTTAGAACCATGTCAACAACAAACATGGTGGATTTAGTGTATTTAAAGAGACTGTTAGGCCTCGGTGGAATATTCGCTCTACAGGGTCTGTTTTAGTTTTGTCTGTGTTGTCAAGTTAGAAAGTCCTCTATCGTCTTTAATTGAATATGTGGGCCCCTGCAGGTCTGATCGGGGTGAACCTGTGGCCTCAGGAGCCAAACAGACGCTACCTGCTGTGTCCTCGCTCCATGTTCTGCGAGTTCCTGCCCGAGGGCAGCCTCGAGGAGGAGACGCCTCACACTCTGCTGATGGAGGAGGTGAAGGAGGGACTAAACTACGAGCTTGTCATCACAAACGCATCAGGACTGTTCAGGTAGGAAAAACACTTTTTATTTTTTATTCTGATGTGCTGGACAGTTGTAGAAGTAATGTCTGTATTTTGCTGTTTCACAGATACCGCATTGGTGACATCGTGAAAGTGGTTGGATTCCATAATCAGTGTCCGATTGTTGAGTTTCAGTACAGGTACAGTATTACACTGTGTACAACTAAAGCATGTGTATCATCTCATGCTGTGTGTAAAGTATCTTTAGTTTTTCTGCTTGAGTACAAATTTTACAGATGAGTATTTTGCCCTCGGTCTGTCTCCTGTTAGACGGGGTCAGATGTTGAATGTTCGGGGGGAGAAGGTTTCTGAAGCGTTGTTCCTCAACGCTCTGAAGAAAGCCGTCGCTCAGTGGCCAGGATCTCAACTGGTCGACTACTGCTGTGCTGAAAGTGGCATCATGGGTAAGTTGTAGAACTACAATCATGATTATATCCCTTTATCAGAGGGGGTTTCCTCTGGATTCATTTGTTTTTGTAAAAAATTATCTATTTTCTCTCGCTCTGTTTTACTGCCTGTTTTCTGTGACTCTGAATCACATGGGGTAATGACGCATTGTCAGTGTTTAAGGGAGAAAGCAAAAATAATGCAGCTTTTTGCTGTGTTTCAGATTCTTTTGGAGAAAGTTGGAACTTGTTTTGATGCAAGATCACACTTGTGTTTTAATCTGACCTTTGTGTGTGTGAAATCTTCTGAGTGGTCAGTCAGGCTCAGTTTGCATTATAATGAATCTGACATTACTGTGTTGGTGTTGTAGGAGATTCAATAGGCGGCTCAGATCCTCATTACCAGGTGTTTGTGGAGCTGAAAGGTGTGAGGAAGCTCACAGAGGAGCAACGATACAAGGTAAGAACAGCATACAGCAGAAATACACTGCATTTTATCTTTTTTTATCATGAAATCACTCAGAGCTGTCTTTCCCCGTCTTCTCTCATTCCTTTCAGCTGGACGTCTGTCTCCAGCAGGACTCGGCAGTCTACAAGTCTTTCCGTATCAAAGGCAGCATCGGACCAATGAGGGTGCAGCTGGTGGCGGACGGTGCGTTCAAGGAGCTTCGTAAGCAGATGATGGCTTTCTCAAACACCTCACCCAACACCTTCAAAATGCACCGAGTGCTGCGCAGGAGAGAATACGCTGATTTCTTACTGGGAAAAACGGTTTCCTGAAACCGTGACACTGACTGTGGCGCTGACTGACTGAATTACGGAGTTGATGAAATGTGCCTTTAGCAACCGAGACGAGACAAATACATATGACTCAATTGAAAATGTTCATCTCAACCATATTTATACTTTCGTTAAAGCAAACTGTTAAACTGCTACTGTTGTTTTATTTGATGAAATGTTTTACAACCGCGCCTGACTTCCCTGACAGTCAAAGTTAAACCATATGTTGTCTATATCATGTACTAAAGATAATTTCTGACTTTACCTGACCAGGTTTTCATTTTGTTTTCCAATAATCAGGTGAAAGTCTTAAACGAGAAAACATTTTAATTTAGGTACAATGATGGTTTTTGGTGCAGCTGGTGAAAAAGCCAAAGAAAATATAAAAACTCTCCTAAAGCTCGTAAAATATTGACATTGCTCCATATTTTTATAAATATCGCTCTTTTAGTCAACACCATCTGGTGATATTGAAAGTTTTGGCATCTAAATATTCACAGTGTCACCGTAAGATTAAGATTTATATATTAAATTAAACCCCTTGTTTGCCCAAATCATGGAGTGCAAGTAAAACTCTGATGTATGTTGAGGGCTCATATTACATCTACCAAGGAGTTTATGTTTTCACCCCTGCTCGTTTATTTATTTGTTTGTTTGTCAGCAGGATTAGGCAAAAACTACTAAACAGATTTCCACTAAACTTGGTGGTAGATGAGACATTGGCCGAGAAAAAAACCATCCAATGTTGACGTGGATCAGGGGGCAGATCCAGGATTTTTGATTTATCACTGAGCATTCCGAGCATAGTGAGAGGATTGATATGTATGAGTGTGTGTAATTTGGTGCAGCTTGATTGAATTGAAGGGTATGGTTGAGCCTCGGTGAAGGTATCCGCTCTACTAAGTTCCATTCTAGATAAAACCTGGGCTCAGTAGAACTACATTATTTGTCCTTTTTGTCTCTTCAGAATGGAGAATGAAGAGAATGAATGTCCTGGACAAGTTCATTGTAATAACTTATTATATCATTTGTTGAAACTGAAACTGAATTTTCATTATTGCATGCGTCTCCAGAGCTGTTGCTTCATCACAATAAGGTTTCCCTATTGAGTGATATCATCAACCACTAGAGGGGGCAAATCTTGTGTGTTCTTCTTCAGGTGACCAGATTCACTTGTTATTTGTCTCATTAGCTCAATTCTACAACTGGCGTCTTCATCATATCGCTGGTTTAGAGCCTGAAGATGAAGCTCGTCACTGTGAGTCAACTAAACCTAACACCAGAGGCAAGCAGGGGTCTTAACAACACTTTACTCACATGCAAAAACTGAGTATTTTTACACACAGCAATATTTAGATTAATAGTCAGGACTTAAATACGAACTAAATCCAGCATTATTATGTTTTGTCAGATTCTATCTTGACTGTACTTCTTGAGAATCTTTACCATGTTGTCAAAGATGGGAAAAAAAATGTGCAGCTAAACACTGAACAGGCCTTTTTTCTCACATCTGTTACCCTCACATGTTGTTGCATGGCACACTTCTCTCTCTGCAGGCCCCTCTGTCCACAAAGTGGGCTAATATTTATAGTAACGTCCCACTTCAGTGGGGATTTGACACTGCTCTCGCCTCATTTAGGCTCCATGGAGCGATCAGACCGAAGCAGCAGAGATAAAAAGCTAAATTTGGCTCATTGAAGCCCGTAACAAATGGTCTTCACATGAGAAGACGACATGAATGAAACAGAGGCTGGGGTCTTGTTTTGCTCTCGGGGTTTCAAACAGTTAAACCTGTGGTTACCTTAGGAAGTGAGTCTGTCATCATTCTCGTATTCTCCAGCACATCAGAGGATACTTTCACATTTCACCTCCCTGCTCTTGTGCCAGTGCTGCTATGTACTTCTGTATCTACACGTATACTTCTGCCAAAGCTTAAAAAGACATCTGAGCTTTAAAGAACTGAAACTACAAAAATATTGGGAACTGTTGATGCTTTTCTTTGTTCTTATAACAGTGATTTTCAGGCTTTGAATCTAATAATATTCATCCATTAGTCAAAAAACTTTCAAGACCAAACTACTGAACAGAATTTAAAAATGTGCTTTATTTTTACTCTAACAGGGATATTAAGTACTTGCTCTGTGTTCACACTCTTCAGTTGGGTAATTTTTTTTTTGTAGATAATGAGTTCCCATGTCAAATCGAGGATTTTTTGGGGGCCATTAAAGGGCCACAATTTACACAGAGGGGCCAATTATATGTCCATCAACCATTTACACTTCCTGATTCAGTAAGTTTTTATTTAAAAAAAGATTAATAAAAAGCTTAAATAAAAATACTGCTGACAGGAAAGTGGCATTCAGGGGCCAGTCAGGTTATAGTTTAGCTGGGGTCAAGTCTTTTTTTCTATGATTTGACTTTTTGTTATAAATTGAATACAGTTGTGGTTGTGTGAGGATGTTGTGTGTCTTCCTCTCTGTTGTCATCATGTGCTTTGAGGATTTGCATAAACGCCCACACACATGCAAACAAGAGCTTCTGTGCACATCTGCTCAGTCACAAGTTAATTCAATGTAAACAGCTGAGATTTGAGAATGACAGGCCTGATTTCTCAATGGGTTTGCTGGGGTGAGAGAAGGGAGATTTGCATGTCGAGTGAATGAGGACGGCTGTAAAGCTCATGTTCATGTCACAGATTCCGCCTGGTTCAGGGCCGTGGGTTCTCATTCAAGATTAAAAATGGTGAGCAAGAGTTATATTTGTGAATATCGGTAAACATTTGATTATTTTCAAATGTGAATCGACCCATTTTAAATTTAGCGTTTCACTTCCAGCAGATGTAAAAATGAGCTAGGAACCCTGGGAGATGTAGTTGGGGTAATATTTCACCTGGCTGCCTGTGTGTCACTGTGTTGTATTAGACCGTGGAGTTGATAGTGGCCATGTATAATGGATGACCCTCTTTATTAGTGACAAGCAGAGATGGATGAACTACAAGAAGAAAGGACAGTGAGAGGACATTAAAAATAAATAGCAGTGATGGGTTGCCACAGCTCGAATAGGATCTGAGAGAGGGAACGATACTTTCTAGCAGTCTGTGAGTTATTTCTCCATTTGCACTAGTTTTCTGTCTCTTCTCCAAACGTAGCTCACCTGTGCTGCCTGCTGGATGGATTAATCACTCCATGCATTCTAATGGCCTTTCCTCCGCAGAGTTTCCTGACTGACAGGATGTTAATGATGAGTTTACAGAGACACACGCAGTCAGTGTATCAGAATCGGCAGCTGCTCCCTCCCTTGTTAGTTATATCTGAATTTTTGTTCATTTTTAGCCACTTAAATGTTTTATTAAAGGTGCAGGTGCACAAACAAGCACCGACATCACTCACCACATCTTAGCTAAGAGATGCGCAGTTGCTGTCAATCAAGATGAAGTCCAAATGTATTTTTTTGCCCTGAAGAATTTCAAACTGCATTTGTGGCTCGAGGAACACACAGTCGCCGAATCACTTACACTCTCATAAACGTTTTTCTGTTTCTTCTCACAACCATTTTTTTAAAAATTGACTCCCATAGAGTTACACTTGATGTATGGTCGAGGAAATGTGCTGTGAAAATGTCTCTTTCTATTTCAAAGACTAGCATAGAACAAGTCAAATATTCCACTTTCAAACCCATAAGTTTCTTCATATGCTCCCAAGTCTTATGAGTCCTGGAAAAAAAAAACCTGAAAGGTATAAAAGAAAAACTTTGAGATGATGTATTGTTGTCGCAGGATGTGTTCTGGGTTTTCTTCTAGCTGCCGGCTAAACATATATACAACCTCGACATCCTCAAGCTCCACATAAATCACAGTGACTATTCAACCTCACAATTTCAGTAAGACACAGACTTTACTGCAGCTGAAAACCTCTTCTAGTCACATTTAAAACAAGCAGAATAAACGTAGTTGTCTTCTGCGCATTTCCCGACCCCTCCTGCCAAAAGCTTATTATTAATGATAACCTATGTCTTTACATTGCATTTAAACCTGAGCTGCTCTCCTGTCATATAACATATGGACCATCCTCAAAATAATCCTCCATCTAATTATCAGGTTTCTTCATGTAGTTTGCAATAGTTAATATTTAATGACAGTTACATTCATTATCATAATGGAAAGCTCCTCTTTCCCTGACTCCTATAAAACCTGACGGTATTGCTGTTGACGGAGGAAACATCTTGAGGTAAACAGTTGTTTCTGTTAAGCATCGTCACAATCTCGAGGTATTTCCCTTATCGGCTAAGCTTTGCTGTTTGCATGGGTCAAAGTGAGATAAGATGTGACGTTTTCTTTGGTTTGTTCAGTCCTCATGAAAAGCATCTCCAGGCTTATCCTTTTAATCCGCTCTCAGCGGCTTTTACCCCAGAGCCTTAATTCTCTCATGAGGATACTGTAGATGCTGCATGGGAAGGAAACAGTGACCAGCTCTATTCAGAAGAGACTTTAAAAGTTGCAATATACTAGGAATATGGGATTTGACATCTGCAGGTCTTACAGCCTCTGCAGCTCCTTCACTTTGGTAAAAAAAAAGTAGATATATAAGAAAATAAATGTGAATATATTGCTTCCCCACACGTTTAGTATTTCCCTTGAGGTCTCCCATGACAGAGCAGCACAATAGCACACAATCCAACAGAATACAATAGGCTGCACTGACCGACATGCAGGTAATCCATCTTTCCTCGATTTGCAGACATGCACACAAAAGCCATGTGCTGATAGTAGCTCTATGGGATGTAATGGTGCTGTCACCAGCTCCGAAAGCCTCCCCCTCACCTCCCTCCCTCCTTCAACTCTCCCTCCCAACTCACTCTCTCTCTCTCTCTTTCTCTCGCTTGCTTTCTCTCTCTCTCTCTCTCCCCCCACCACAGATGAGAACAGGTCCCCACAGAGGTTGCCAGCATCTCATTGGCTGGGATATCGCAGGAGTGGATGGAAGCAGGAGCGAGACGGGAGAGAAAGCTCAAGAAGATGCAACTACTGTGCCACAGCATCCTGACAGGGCGCTGAGCTGAGGGATGAAAGAGGTGTAGACACATGCCCGACCTATTTTTTCTTTTTGCAGATTCCTGCTCCTCCTTGTAGATGGAAAAAAACGGAGTGGAGTAAAAGGATAACTTCCTCCACATTGCTGCTGGAATGAGCTCTCTGGCTAAAAGGTGCAGAGAAGCAACAGCTGGGCCGACTGATGTGACGCTCCTTGGATCTCAGCATCACCTGGACGTGATCCCTATCTAAGCCGCCTGCATCCAAACCTGTTCACTGGTGGAGGGAGCTTTTTCAGTCATCCCCAGGCTGCACAAGTTGTCTTCAGGCAGCGCTCAGAGAAAGGTGGCTGCTTTTACTGTAAATGTGTGTCCCCGTTGCTGGCACTGGATTGTCACCCTCCAAGTCTCCTGCCCCTGCCGACAGCCCCTGGAAGCCAACCGCTCTGACTCTGGGATGGTGTGACCTCGAGCCAGCTGTTGGCTGTCCCACATCTGGGTCAAGATGCCAGTGATGAAGGGCCTCCTGGCCCCTCAGAACACCTTTCTGGACACCATTGCTACACGCTTCGATGGCACCCGTAAGTAGAATGGAAACACTTTGAGGTATCCTATCCAATGAAAGTAAAAGATACTTTAAAAGTTTGAAACAACACATTCATTAAAGATCTTTTGGTAATTATCATCACAGGAAATAAGACAGACTCTCTGAATCATGAATATGGGCAAGACACTTGTTCTGTAGAAACAATGATTGACTAAAGCAACCACTGCTGCTGGCCTCACTGGGATGTAGAGGAAAGTTTGTTTCACAGAAAAAAGAAAGTGATGAGCAGAAAATTGACCTTCAGAAATCATGTTGTCTTTCCTCATTTGTTTCACTCAGTTAGCTCCAAACCACCCAGTGCAGCCATTAGGCAGTGCTGCCATTTCTGCTCAGCTTGTCCCTCTTGTTTTTTTACCTCGTGCCACCTCAGGGGAAGTTGTGGCTCATTGTAAACAAATACCGTAGGGACGTCTGTGTTTGTTTGCTCGTCGATTCAGCCTCTCCTCCCTCAGCCAGTCGCAGCGTCGACTGAACGAACGGCTGTTGTTCTCTGCTGTTACTCTCTGAGCAGGCAGACTTGAAGTAAACAGTGAAATTGGTGACGCTGCTGTGTAATTGATGAGTGGGGTATGCAATTATACATTTGACTTGTGAGTCAGGGTCCTAATGAGGTGTTGGAGGATCTCTCAGGAGCTCATCAGGAATCCTCCTCATTTCTGAACCGTGTGGTTTAAAACTACAAATTAGGACACGTGTAAAGTATATGCTTTGCATCAAGAGAAGATTTGGGCAGCATAGAGTTCAGCTGCAGGTCCAGAGGTCATGTCCTCATCCTGAAGAGTCCTTGAGCTAAACACTGACTCGCTGCCACCTCCAGAGAGCTGCTCTCTGAACCTCCTCTCTGACTTCACTGTGTGAGACTGAGAGCAAGAAGGAAAGAAACACTTCCCTTTCGGGCTCAGAGTCTTTTCCATTGTGACGTTAAACTCAGAAAGAAAACCTTCCTGATCTTCTATTTTCTCTTCTGCTCCAGTGATATTATTGATAATTATGTCAAACATCTATTTCTTTAGAGTGATGACTCTTCCACCTCGTGGTACTTCACCCCTGCAGCACGACTGTAACTACTGGAAAAGACAGCTGTGCCCACATTCACCGCTTTGCAGAAAATGAATTCTGTTATAAATAATTTCATATTTTCAATATTCATGGTGGCATTTTTACATCTGCTCTATTTCAGTGCAGCGGGGTGTTAATCCTTTCCTCCCCATGCTTCTTGAAAAAGGAACCAAATTATGGCCATTTAGATCAACAGACAGACGGCAGGATACACGTCGTCGCAGCTTCGTGCCAGTTTTTGCCACTTTTAGGCATTTCTCAAAGCTGCCATAAGGCCTCTGCTGGCAGAGGAGTGGTAGCGTGCCCACTGCTCGAAATAGCTTCCTTCCTGTTTCCGGGGCAACAGGGTCCTGGCACTTGACATGGATGATGCTCGAGCACTTTGGTCTTTGAGGAAAAAGATGGTCCACTAAATAGACAACACTTGAATTTGCTTTTCCTCTCAAGGACACTAGAAGGCAGCTGGTCGTTGATTCTGAAAGGCGCAACGCAAAAACAAGTGGCATTGTGGGTGGTGCAGCTGTGATTCCTTTTAAGTAACTGTCGTCAACCTGCTGAAGCTGTCCAAAAACAATTTGGCACTATGTACTGTGTATTTCTGAAGTGTTTAATACCCTCACTCAAAGATATCACTTTATTTGACCGTTTGAACTCAGAAGGAAAGCTGTTATAACATTCATCAGCGGAAGAGGGAAAGTTTCTTTGTGCTCATCATCCTGTATCCAACTCACTAGTGCTTGCGTACCTTGCTGTGAACAGATCGGGTCCAGTCTACGTCCAGGCCATGGTTAAACCCTACACCCTAGCCCGTCCACTCCGCTCTGCATTGGCAAGTTCCCCATTGACATCAGGACAGCAGAAAGTCTGTACATCTTCCTCCGGTAATCACAGTTTCCCAAAATGCTTAATGCTAAATTTAGAGTCAAGCCACTAATTCATAACTGAATAAAACATGATCAATCTGAATATGCAAACATCATATTGCATTTTTACATGCTACACACAAAAACAAGCTTTATTCAGCCCTTATAGAAACTGAAGAAAGCCCCCCTGAGCCGCTCAGTCCAAGATTGAATTTAATGTGTCACAACCTCTATTTACAGTAATTATAATCTAGAGCAGCAAATTATTCATTTATTTATTGGAACATGTCAATAATCTCTCATTTTAAGAAGCTGATGGAGATTTCAAGTATAAGTTACACTGTATTAAATCCTTCCATATTGAAATCAACACACAAACAAAAGCAAATCCTACAGTTTTCTATAGCCTTAAAAATATTAAACATTATGTAGGTCACATATTTTCAGTTCTTGTACAAAAGAAGTGCTTCAGTCCATCAGTCTGAGGAAGAAAATACTTTTAGGTCAGCAAAACAAGCGGCCCAGCACAACTGTACTGTAACTGCTGACTGAGCGGCCATTCAGTCAAACATTGTCCAAAAACTTTCATCTACTGTCGCTCTCACCTCGCCTGCTCTTTACAATGAGTTCTTATTTACAACAGATGATTATTCATGAAAACATTATTATTATATATTATCTATTATTATCTTTTTCCAGCAAACCCATATAATTACTCAGATTGCTTCCATTATTCAAAACAAAAAAACATTTTGCTATTGTGCAATCCCAACTAAAGCTTGAGTCTGCTGCGAGAAACAATGGAGCAGTTTTGGTTTTAAAAGTGTGACATCCGTCTCCCGGTCATTATCTCTTGTGCAGCTTCATATCCCATGTTTTCATTCCATCAGTGGGTTGTAGTGCTATTGTGATAAGAGAGACAGTTTTAATACACATATTAATTTGTATACGCTTAATGATACAAATATTATCTGGACTGTGCTGAACACTGAAATCAGTTTTAGAGTTGATTTTAATTTAACAGTTCCTGTTCCTGAACTGAGGAACAAAATGTCAGAACAGGTTAAGTCAATAACCTTTGGCACTGCACAGCTCAGTATTTGGCCCATAGCAATGTCAATGTTTGTATTTCCCAAAGGAAATACAGGCCATGTGTGTGTGTTTGTGTATGTCATGCTGATTTTACATATGTGTCTGTATGTTATGTGACAATCCCCTATTGATCCCTGCAGGGAAAGTGCCAGAGGTCAAAGGTCAGGGTCAGGATGTAGAATAGCACTTTGGAGGCTGTGATTTGCTCCAAGGTGAATCACCAGGGCAGATGTATGTTGTCACATGGGGCGAAAACCAAGACCTTCCAGTTTACCACCACTGTGCTGTGTATGTGTGATTGTGTGTGTGTGTGTGTGTGTTACAGCGCACACGCCTGTCCTTTACAGCCTTCCTCACCACCTCCAGCTCCTTTATGCGACCTCCCTCACATTGACAGCGGAGCTCGCCCTGTGGGGCAGCGTAACCACAGGGCAGCTGCAGGCAGAGATAAGAACTGGGTTTATCTTCCCCTTGAACACTTTTCTGTTAAAAGGCAACCGAAGAACCAAAGGGGAGACAGAGAGGACAGTCAGATGGAACCTCAAGGAGCTCATTGTTACCCGGCTGATGAACAGGTCTTAATAGGCAGCTGCAAACACCAGAGGAGCGCAGATATAGGCCAGTGGATAGCTGAAGCTATTGTGTTTGGTTTTCCAGGTGCGAAGATGAATGCAGGCACTGATTTGTCATTGTTTATTGATGAGCATCAGCAGTATTCTCTGCATTGGTATAGTTTGATCCATGGCTTCAGCTAAATTTGAGACTCCAAATCTTCTCCTGTTGTTCAGATCCGTACCTTACACGACAGCTCCACCTCCATGGGTGCGTGAATGTAGGTGTGAGTAGGTGTGAAGTTTCATAAAGTAATTTTCAACCTTCTCAGGATAAAGCCGCTACGTACTATAACTGCACTTCTTTTTTTATTTACAGGATACATAAACGTCTCAAACAAGCGCTAAACATTCACTTAAATGGTCCAGATGTTGTATATGTGTATCATTTAAAAGTCTAGAAAATGATTGCGTTAATCACTGATATCAAAAAACAATGTGACTGCTGATTTGCAGTGGCCTTTCTCCACTCCTTGCACTCTCACCCATCTGCCCCAATAAGTAATTACATGCTACAGGATAGTAATTAGCTCCTGATGCAGGGGCCAAGCCTCATGGGCATCATCACACTTTTATACTCAGAGGAACTTGTGCGACGTGCAGGATGCTTGTTGCTAGCAGTTAGCATGTAGTGTTATCATGTCAGATTACAGTTGTAGCAAGTCAGCACAGATGTGCAATTAAGGAAGCTGGCTCAGTGGAGCGGCCACTCGTAGCAATATCCCTGAGAGGATTATGACCTTAGAATTGAGGCATTGTCACATGCACACACACACACACAC